CCTTTTGGTGTGACCTTGGGGTCCCCTTTGGTGTCACCTTTGGGTCCCTTTTGGTGTGACCTTGGGGTCCCCTTTGGTGTCCCCTCAGTGTCACCTTGGTGTCCCCTTGGGGTTCCCATTGGTGTCACCTTGGGGTCCCCTTTGGTGTCACCTTTGGTGTCCCCTCAGTGTCACCTTTGGGTCCCCTTTGGTGTCACCTTCGGGTCCCTTTTGGTGTCCCCTTTGGTGTCACCTTGGGGTCCCCTTTGGTGTCACCTTGGTGTCCCCTCAGTGTCACCTTTGGGTCCCCTTTGGTGTCACCTTGGGGTCCCCTCAGTGTCACCTTGGGGTCCCCTTTGATGTCCCCTCAGTGTCACCTTTGGGGTCCCCTTTGGTGTCACCTTGGGGTCCCCTTTGGTGTCCCCTCAGTGTCACCTTGGGGTCCCTTTTGGTGTCACCTCGGTGTCACCTTGGGGTTCCCTTTGGTGTCCCCTTTGGTGTCACCTTGGGGTCCCTTTTGGTGTCACCTTGGGGTTCCCTTTGGTGTCACCTTGGGGTTCCCTTTGGTGTCACCTTGGGGTCCCCTTTGGTGTCCCCTCGGTGTCACCTTTGGTGTCACCTTGGGCTCCCCTTGGTGTCACCTCGGTGTCACCTTGGGGGTCCCCTTTGGTGTCCCCTCGGTGTCACCTTGGGGTCCCCTCAGTGTCACCTTGGGGTTCCCTTTGGTGTCCCCTCAGTGCCACTGTGGGGTCCCCTTTGGTGTCCCCTCGGTGTCACCTTGGGGTTCCCTTTGGTGTCACCTTTGGGTCCCCTTTGGTGTCCCCTCAGTGTCACCTTGGGGTCCCTTTTGGTGTCACCTTGGGGTCCCCTTTGGTGTCCCCTTGGTGTCACCTTGGGGTCCCCTTGGTGTCCCATCGGTGTCACCTTGGGGTCCCCTTTGGTGTCACCTCGGTGTCACCTTGGTGTCCCCTCAGTATCACCTTGGGGGTCTCCTTTGGTGTCCCCTCGGTGTCACCTTGGGGTCCCCTCGGTGTCACCTTGGGGTCCCCTTTGGTGTCACCTTTGGGTCCCCTTGGTGTCACCTTGGTGTCCCCTTGGTGTCCCCTCAGTGTCACCTTTGGTGTCCCCTCAGTGTCACTTTGGGGTCCCCTTTGGTGTCCCCTCAGTGTCACCTTGGGGTTCCCTTTGGGGTTCCCTTTGGTGTCCCCTCGGTGTCACCTTGGGGTCCCTTTTGGTGTCACCTTTGGGCCCCTCAGTGTCACCTTGGGGTCCCCTTTGGTGTCACCTTGGGGTCCCCTTTGGTGTCACCTTTGTGTCCCCTTTGGTGTCCCCTCGGTGTCACCTTGTTGTCCCCTTTGGTGTCACCTTGGGGTCCCCTTTGGTGTCCCCTCAGTGTCACCTTGGGGTCCCTTTTGGTGTCACCTTGGGGTTCCCTTTGGTGTCCCCTCGGTCCCTTTGGGGTCCCCTTTGGTGTCACCTTGGGGTCCTCTCAGTGTCACCTTGGGGTCCCCTTTGGTGTCACCCTCAGTGTCACCTTGGGGTCCCCTTTGGTGTCCCCTTGGGGTCCCCTTAGGTGTCCCCTCGGTGTCACCGTGGGGTCCCCTCAGTGTCACCTTGGGGTCCCCTCAGTGTCACCTTGGGGTCCCCTCAGTGCCACCATGGGATCCCCTTTGGAGTCACCTTGGGGTTCCCTTTGGTGTCCCCTTGGTGTCACCTTGGGGTCCCCTTTGGTGTCACCACTGATGTCATCCTTGGGGTCCCCTTTGGTGTCACCCTCAGTGTCACCTTTGGGTCCCCTTTGGTGTCCCCTCGGTGTCACCTTTGGTGTCACCTTGGGTGTCCCCTCAGTGTCACCTTGGGGTTCCCTTTGGTGTCACCTTGGGGTTCCCTTTGGTGTCCCCTCGGTGTCACCTTGGGGTTCCCTTTGGTGTCACCTTGGGGTCCCCTTTGGGGTCCCCTCAGTGTCCCCTTTGGTGTCACCTTGGGGGTCCCCTTTGGTGCCCCTCAGTGTCCCCTTTGTGTCCCCTCAATGTCCCCAACCGGGGCTGCTGCTCCCCGTCCAGCAGGGATCGGTTCCCCCCAATCAAAAATTAGGAAAAAATCACCAAAACCCCAAATAAATACGGGAAATGTTTTAAAAAAAAGACTTTTTTATAAATAAAATTGAAAAAAAAATCAAACATTTAATTTAAAATTTAAAATTCCAAGGAGATTTAAAATAGAATTTTGATCTAATATTAAATAGAGAAGAAAATTTCAAACTTCAAGACATGAAAATCAATTTCAGGATGAATGGAAAATATTTAAAAGAAATCAAAATAAATTAAAAAGAAATTTTAAAGAAATAAAAAATAAGTTAAAAAATTTACAGCGAATAAAGGATAAATTTAAAAAATATTGTAAAGAAAGATAAATTTCAAAAATATTTTCAAAGGAATAAAAAGGAGATTTCAAAAATATTCTAAAAAAATAAAAGCA